AACCTGGGTTCTCTGGAAGAGCAGTTAGTGCTTTTACCTGCTGAACCATCTCTCCAGTACCTCAGACACCTTCTTGTTGACTTCAGGACAAGGGCTCTAGAGCACCCAGCCTCCACTTCCAAGTTTACTGCCTGGCCAAAGGTCCTTTGCATAGCTCTTCTGCTGTTAGTTCTGTGGCAAAGACACTAGGGCTCTGCCTGTTACATTGTTAAGGACACCCTTTCCAGTCCCCAAGTAAAGTCTATAGTCATATCTATGAATGAACTGTGGTCTTTGGGGTGGGACCTGGGATCCTGGTTTTTCACAGTGCTCCTCAGCAGACTTTAGGAATAGATTCTGTTTTCCCATCCATGTCCATCTGTCTCCAAGCTCTTGCTGATAGTCTTATTTCTCTCTGGTCCTCAAGTAAGATTAAGTTCAGGCCTTGGATGAGTGGTTAGAACAGTCATGGTAGCCTGCTCTCTTCCACATTCTCACCTGGGAAGCCAGGGTGACAAAGGGGAAGCTGGACAGGCTGATCTTCCTGGAGACTTTCTGCAAAGCAGAGGTAGTCTAGCCCGACTCTTCTCCACACAGAAGGGCTGCCACCCAACATAGAGATCTGAAAAACTGCTTCTCCAAGTAGGGTTGGTCATCTTCACAGTTCACTAAATAATAATTGAGCTCACCTCCCTTTTACAGTATAAGAATTCCTGTTCTCTTCCCTCAGAGTTCTAAATGATTCCACTCATTAAACTCAAAAGATGTCCTTTGTACCTACCATGTGACAGGAATGTGCTAGGCATACAGAGAACATGAACCTGATATGGTTTCTGCTGAGGCACTTCAAGAGACATTCACCACACACACAACCACACATAGATGACAGCAACAGCATCATTGTGTAAGAACAAGTGAGGACATCTATCTGAGAGGAAAGGGGGAGAGCCCAGGCCAGGCTCAGGTCTCCAAGGTGACAGCAGGGTATCAGTTGAGACTGAGAGGCCACCAGGTACCATCGGGGAACCAGGTGCTAAAGGAACAGGATGTAACCAAAAGGTTCTAAGCTAGGGCTGGGCAGGTTTAAGGGTATGAGTGTGCTGCCTGCATGGCAGTGGCGCAGGGGGCATGGAAAGATTCTATCCAGGAGCTCAGAAATCAGCAGCCAAGAGCTGATCCTCATGAACACAGTGTTTTGGAAGTCAAGAGACGAGGCCCAAGGGACCAAGGTTGTGTGCTGCAGGATGGACCAGGAGAGCACCAACTCAGGTGTAGTAGGCACACATGGACAAAGCCTTGTGCTTCCAAGTGTGGCTGTGACCAGCCTCTCATCTCACATTTGGCCAATCTGTTTTTTTTTTTTTTTTTTGCAGAATAACTGACTCAAAGAAATTCAGAAAAATTTCACAATGGGCAGGATTCCAGGTTTTCCTTCAGCTAATTAAGTGATATTAGGGAGGTTGTAAATGCCACATAAAAATTGGCAGCAAGCTGCTCCTAATGATGAGGATTGCTTCCCAGGGTGATGCAGCTGCAGCTTCTTAGTGCTCATCTTCAGGGGACCTGATTCTGCTTTCAAGGTTGTTCCAGAGTGCTGGAAGGTTGTAGCTACTTCCACACATACTCTGGTCCTCAGTCCCAGGAATACTGTGATACTGGAGGCCAGAAGGGCTAGATAATCACAGCATCACCATAATGGCAAAATGCTTGTTTTTTACACAGACATTGAAGCAATGTTTCAGAATCAGCAAATGGTTTGTCTCCACCATGAAGCTCAAGTGCCTGCCTTCAGGAGGCAAATGAACCGAGGTACAGAGAGGTTGTTGCTTGCCCAAAGGCACACAAACAGAACCAATGTCTCAAGCTCACACATAGTTGCATAGGGTGAGCACTTACTGGTTGCTTACAATGACACACCAGCACAGTAAAGGCTGTTAATATGAATAGTGCCACACGATAAAGCTTGCAAAGTCTTCAGTGTGAGCTCCAATGATGAGGCATTTGTGCTAATTTGGGTAGGGCAACTCTCTCTTGCCTGCCATGTGCAATTTCCATAAAGATGTTTACTTGAGACATGAAAGATTTACAGGGCTTTAGAAGTGTAGAGGTTAAGGAAATGCTTAGCTGTGCTGGGCTAGCCTGGTATAGCCAGCCCTCAGCAAGTTCTTCTCCCTGACCAAGCACAGTCACATCTAGGAGGACCAAAAAGGTTTTAGAATGCTCACCTTGTTTGATGAAATGGGAACTACTAGGTAATACCTTGGCTAGGATGGACTGAGAGAACTGATACAAGTAAAACAAAATTATTTAAGAATAGCTAACAATGTTGAAACTGTCATTCCTCTATTAATTTTAAAAGAGATGAGCTGAGAACAGGGACAGAAATTGGATTCTGATGACACTATTGCTTATGACCACACTGGAGGTGACAGCAGAAGCTGGGAGGACTGCTGTGGGAAAGTGGTGCTGGGTGTATGGAATAATTCACCAAGGTGGGTGATTTAGAAACTGCACATTCACATTTCCACACTGTCAGTGACACCAGCTTTGTTACTGTGAGAAGGAATCATGGCCCTAACAAATAATGTCCCTGGATTCACCTCACTCACGTGTGCCTAGACAGACACCCTGGCCAATAGTCCCACTTGAACAGCAGATAGGACTCAGTCTCCATGTCTCCAAGGAAGATGGCAATTTTAGAGGACTATGTTACCACTTTTGCTTCCCGGGAACTGCTGTTTTTGTGATGAATGTTGCTAAGGGGCCATTCAATATTTTACCAACAGCACCTGTGTACATGTATATGTAGATGTTTGGGGTGGGGGCTGTTTTGACAGGTTTGTGTGTAGGTGCCAGGAAAGGTTTTGTGAGTATGACTGTATTCCCATGTGTAGAGAGATGTTTACTGTTCCCTTTTAGAACTGAGGGTGGGGAAGCTGACAGAGACCTGAATATTGAGATCTCATTGGAGATGTTACTTATTTTCTTGTTCTGAAAAGCAGATGTGAAGAAGGAAAGAAGTCATGTACATGAAAGACAAAAATCCCTTTGCCACTGCATGGGATTTAGTTCCCTGACCTGCTTGCTCTCAATTCACACTTAACCAGCACCCAAGTTTCCTGTTTGGGGATGGATGATGGGTTCACAGCCGGCTGGACTTTGCTAGCAGCCATCATGGGTTTGTGCATAGCATGTAATTATTCTTTCTGGCAGTGACCACCAGAAGCTGGGAAGCAGAGCACTTGAGGACTCAGTGCCACCATTGCACTCATCTGCACGTGACAGAAGGAACCCGTTCTCTTTCTTGACAGGCAGATTTCAGAAGACGTTCATCTCAGAACAATAATCATGGCCACCACAGCCCCAATTCTTTGTACCTTGTAGGATTTAATGGACTTTTCTTTCCAGTCCTCAAAAGGCAGCAACTGGCATTTGCCTGAGTCCTGACGGAGAAGTGTGGACAATCTGTCAGGTTCTCTCTGCCACTCACCCTGGCCACAATTAGACAGTTCATGTGCAGATTAGCTGCAAAGTCATTCCTCTTCCAGGAGTGACAACACTTTCCCAAATACAAAAAGGTACCTACTGTCTCTTCGGTGCCCGTCTGTATTAGGAAGTCAGGGGCGGGGTGCATGGTGAAAAAGGCCTTCAAAAGAAGGGCACAGCAACTGAAAAGGGCTGCTACAGAGTGGTGACATGGTAAGAACAGAGAGCGGCATAGCCACTCACAGTAATCCTGTGACACACTGCTGTCACTCACTGCCTGGCTCCCTGCTGCGCCAGCCAGACATCAAAGGCTGCCCCATACCATCTTACATGCTCTTTAGCAGCTAATCAGCCCATTCTTCCCTGAATAAAGCTCTGTTCAATCAGCTGCTCACAGGGGTATAGTGGTCTTGGTGCCCATCTGCCAGCTAGGGTTGGCTGAGACATGAGGTGGCAGTCACACTCTCCCCTGAGGCTTCTCAAGGTAAGGTCAACGCTGCCACTAAGTCATTTGCTTCCCAGGACCCCATGAGACCAGAGCTGGAAGTGAAGTCTGAGTCCCCCAACTCTAAGATCACTATCCTACACTGGGTAGCCCTTCTTCCCTCTGAAGCCAGGTGTTAAACCAAGCTAGTGAGGCAATGAGTACTTTCTGGTGAAAAGAGCAGGAGAGACTGTGTGAGAACGGCAGCAAAGCATGAGGCTGCCTAACCTCCAAGTCAGGGCAAAGATATGGTAGCATTTGTACCCAGAGCATTCAAGGAATCTACACCAAAACTGGGGCAAGGGAAGAAAAGTTTCTATTCTCCAACACTTACTTATTCACTGTGTTTTCTCTATACAGGTCACCCAACAGAGGTGCCCCCTACCCCAAGACCCCTACAGAGCACTCTTGGGTCTCCAGTCTGCCTATGGTGTGAGGCTGGGCTTGCTGCTAAAAGAACACCATTCCTTAAGGAGGAAAGGGAACAATAGGGACAATTTGAGAGCAACTGTTAGCTCAGCTCAGCACTGTGGGGTTAGACTCAGGGACAAGCCTAGTCCCTGACTCCAGTGACCCAGGATAACTGACCTAGGGTCAGTTCTGCTCACCCTGACATTCCTTTCACAAGGATCCTTTGGACAAAGCAACTGTGCACCCAGATGTGTGCTTTCTGAGGAAAGGGCAAGTGTCTGGCTTTACCATGGATAGCTGCACAGGCAGGATACAGGCTGCTCTTCTAAGTCCCCAGCCCCATGCCATCCCATAGCTCACAAGGACAGAAATTGCTACCAGACCTAATGATATGGAACACACCAGAAGCCTCCCAAGTTACTCTACTGGGACATGAGGACAACTCAACAGACCCGTCTTTCTGCTCAATAATCCCCACTGCATTTGTGTCCAACTGAATTTTTTTGCAGGATTAGGGATGCTTTTTCTCCTTGTTCCAAGTGCCCACCCCTCCACGAGACAGAAGAGCTGGCACCAGCCTTCCAGATGACCTTACCTGCTAATATAAACAGCTCTGCACATAATTTAACTCCCATCTTACCTTTTCAAGCTTGCTTTCTTCTTCACAGTGGAGACACTGAGGTTTCTAGGAGCATCTCTTAGCCCGAAACTCTTAGCCACATGGCCAAGGTGTAGGGATCTGACATGGAAAATGGGCTTCAACTCCCTGGGGTAGGTTGCATAGGCTCGGATGAAGGACTGCAGAGCTAGAAGAAAGGGGGAGGAGAAGTAAGGATGGGTTCTGAAGCCTCAGAGTTACCTAACCTCTATGTTACCCTACTCTACCTTGCCAAGAAAGAGAACAGAACCAGGGCAATCACACAGGCAACCTCAAGCCACACTTGTCCATGTTCTTAAAATCTCTGAAGGGCTTGGGGGATGCTCACTGGTTAAGGTGATGTACTGTTCCTGCAGAGGATCAGAGTTTTGGTCCCAGTACCCAGATTGGATAGCTTTTAGCAGCCTGTAACTCCAGCTCTGAAGGGATCTGATACCTCCCTAGGCAACTGCACTCACCTATGCCTACCATGCACAGATACAACACTCGCATACACATAATTAAAAGAATGAAAGTTTAAAAACATCCCTAAACAAAAAATTATAGCCAAAATTATCACTCAAATAAATCCTATTAAATTTGCCTTTACTGAAGAGTTTGCAACAGTCCATCAGGGCAGGGCCCATTTTCTCTTTTGTCATACACAGTTTCAAGGCCTATCACAGTGCCTGGCATGTAGCATGTACTTAATACTCGTTTGTTAAATATAGCAGAATGAATGCACAAACTAAGTGATCAACATTTTCTTATAAAAGTTCTTAGATACTTACATTGGGAAAAATCAGTTATTTTTGAACAGTTAATGCACATAAACATGCCAAGGAGAAAGGAAATCATAAAAACTAAAACAGTGCAGGTAACAGTTGACCTAGGTGCCTGCCCCCAGTCCAGACAGCCCAGGTGCAAAGCTGCGTCCCACCTCAAAGTTAGGAGGAAGGGGTTCCTTGTCCTAGATCCCAGCTCTGGCTACAGAAGATCCGGGCTCCATTCCTGGGTGCTGGAACTTTGGCAGGGCCCGTGTGCCTTAACCTACTTGAGGACATCCCACCTGAGGACAGACTTTCCCGTGTCTGGGCCCGTGTGCCTTAACCTACTTGAGGACATCCCACCTGAGGACAGACTTTACCTTGACTGTCTCCTTGAATATCTCACAACAAGACAAAGTACACATCTTGCCTCCCCTCTCTCCAGCAGAGGGACGACCTGCAATGCACTCTGCCCATCACTGCTCCTTTACCTTCACACCCAGTTCCTCTACCAGGAGGGCTGGAACCAGCCCTGTACCACTGATGAAAGAGTCATCAAGCACCAGCCTCCCTCACCTGGGCGGTTGAGCCACTGGACTGGCAAGTTTGCCCACAGCTTAAGTGTAATATCCCAGTAGCACCTGGAGATTGCCGTTTATGAACAGTAATAAAAAGTGTCATTTTAGCAGATCATCTCCTGGAAGGATCCTGGGAATCCATCAAAGCTCTATTTACTGAGCAAAGTGAACTCCTTTTCCCAATCGATGAGAAATAATAAGCACGGAAACTCCTCTGCACCTCTATCTTAAATCTGTGTTCACTCCCCTTCCAATAACCAGGGACCAGCTTTCTCAAAGAGCATCTTTAACACTTCAAATGGTCTGCAATGTCTGGAGGGTTCCCACACTGGCCCCACCTACAGTTACTCATATTCTCAGAGAGCAACTCCCTGGCACTGAAGTGACCAAAACCCAACTCCTCTCCTTCCCTTTCTTCCCCCAATCCCAACACTTACCTCTGGTCTAAAACACCCCACAAAACCAAGCTAACCCAAGAGTCTGGGCCACCCCAAAGTTAGCCCATATTTCACTGCCTGCCACTCTTTCACATAAGCAGCTGAACCCTGGGTCTTTGTCTGGCTCACAACCCTCCTCCCCCATAGCACACACTTCAAGGAAGCAAGAATATAGATAGATAACTGTCCCAAGAGATCTGGTGCCCATCTAGAAGATTTAAGGGATAACAAGTTGCTGAGCAATGGCAGGAAATGCTCATGCCCAGACATCAGCCCAGGAAGCATTTCACACTGCATATTTTAATTAAAACTTCATGTTCTCCAGGTTCTAGTGTCACTGAGGACAGAGACAGCTGGCTGTCCTTGCACATTTGTATGGACTTCCATGTTTGGCTAACTCTGAGACGGCAGGGGCAGGAAGTGGTTCATGCTGGCAGTGTCTAGAATGTACAGAAGGAACAGGGCTGTGGGACCTGCACAGCAGAAAGTAGAGAACTAGAAGGAGACGTTTATTCGGGGTGACGAATGGAGCTACTGACAATGAAAGTTTAGTTGCCGGCTCTTATTTCCAGGGAGCTATTTAAGGTGAATGAATTAGAGGGAATCTATCTAAAATAATCCACACGGACACCCTGGGCATGTGGATCAGGAATGGGAATGTCGTACAGATGACTTCTATGATAAGAAGGCAGAGGAACAATACTGCAGGCTGGAGACACTCCTCCTGCCTCATATCATAAGCCCCATCTGGCCCACCACCTATACCAACAGGCACATTATCCAAAGGATGTGAGAAAAGAAATGCCTTCATATGGTTCTCTTAAAGGACAAAGTGCTTGGCAACATGCCCGGCCAATGCCATCCTACTTAAGTGAGGAGGTAAATATATCACTACTAGTAAGTGTCCCTTCCAAGCATAGGTGTAAGCGCCACACATGATCCCTACTCTGCAGGAAGGCCAGAAAATGGAGATGACAGACAACGGAAACATGGGCATGTGTAGGCAGAGCACCCTGCTCTCCAAAACACAGAGGAGGAAAAGAAGTGATAGTTCTAGAACTGGCGACAATTTAATAGTTAATGATAATAGGATAAAAAAAAATGCAAAAGGCAACAAATGCATACTGGGCCCAGTTTCTACCTAGTTTTCTACCAAAGGCAAGGCCAGCTGCATTGTTAATTATTCATGAGGCAGGTTCTGCAATGTCACAAAAGGGAAGCAAGCTCGTCAAGGAATTTGTATATGTAAACTGAAATGCAAAAGGTATTGTCAATTTAAAGGGTACAATGGCTTTTCATATGTCATGGGTCAGTTCCTATAGAACAGCAGATGCAGATACATTCCCCCAAAACTCCTAGTCACAATCCTAAGTAACAGGAGAAATTAGTAAAGGTCTTTATGTCCCCAGGTAGGTGACTAAGGTCTAAGGGGTGAGGCAGCTGGTTCCAGCCCTTACAAAACTGGAGTGAAAATGAGCTGGCTAACCAGAGAAATGATCTAAATATTTTCTTCTTGTATGGAAATATCACCAACATGGGAAGCAGCTCTTTTCCTACAGCTTCAACAGACTGTTGATGACAGACAACACCCCCAATCACAATCTCTTAACAACTGCATGTTGATAACTTTAAGGGACTACCCAGGGACTACATAGAGTACTCCTGCCAAGATATGGAAATACCACTGGCACAGCCAAAGTGGATGGTGTGCACTGGTGTCTTTCTTTTCATTGCAATGTCAGTATCAACTTGAATTCAGCTGTGTCAGCCATCTTCCTCCAAAGGTCACAATCACAGTGACAGTCTCTGGCTCCTCTACAGGGAGGTTCTTGGGAACTATGGGAGATTGCTGAATTCACTTTCAGAAAATGCTGAAGACAGGGTTATTATTTGAGAAATGACTAGAAGGACATATACCAGTTATATATGGCTGGCAATGATAGATTTCCATTACATGTAGCTCTATTTTAAGTGTTTTGACAACCAAACCCTGTGCTGAGGGTTAATAATGGCTATCTGAAAACATCTGTTTGTGGGTTTTTTTTTTTGTTGTTGCTGCTGCTAGTGCTGGGGACAGAGCTTGGGGGCCTTGTGCTCTCTGGCACTTGCTCAACTACTGAGTTGCATCTCTAGTCCTGCTGCTATTTTCCTCATCTACTGCTTGATGGCTAGTCACTGGAGCCCAGTCTCCAGCTTTCACTCTCACCCCAGGGTTAATTCTCATATAGCTGTCAGGTGATCTTTTAAAACCTGGTGGCACACGCCTTTAATTCTAGCACACGGGAGGCAATGCTAGCCTGTTCTACAGAGTGAGTTCCAGGATAGTCAGGGCTACACAGAGAAACCCTGTCTCAACTACTCCTTCCCCCCAGAAAAACAAAAAACTAATCAAACAGCCAAACCCCTTTGGCCCATTGAGCCACCACACCTTAGTTCAATGCTTATTCAGGATAACTCTACAGACCTCATAGCAGCCTCCAAGCCCTACAGGATTCTGCCCTAGCTAACCACTCTCGTGCCTATACTTTCCTTCCTTCAGAATATAAAGACTTATCCCATCTGGCTTTGCTGAAGTATCACCTTCTCAGTGGGGCTTACTCTGACCTCTTGCCAACCACATCCCAGCCATCACACCTGCCTGCTCCTTTCCTATTGTCCTTTCTGTAGTCTGTACCACTATCTAAAACACTCATTTACTGTGTTCCTTATCTCACAACTGCGCCTTTCAATACATTAGTTTACAAAGCAGAGGATGCTTTCCACCTACCTCCTCATGCACTGAAGCATCTGTAACAGTGCCAAATTCTAGTGACACTGCCAAGTAAATTGTTTTTGTAAGAGACACTTCTAGCTGGGAGTAGTGGTACATGCTTGTAGTCCCAGCACTCGGGAGACTACAGCAGAAGGATCCCAAGTTTAAGACCTGGCTATAGCGAGACCCTGTCTCAAAACTGAACGAAAACTGTTTTTAAAAGAACAATAGCCAGGCTTGCAACACTTTCAATCCCAGCATTTAGCAGGCAGGCAGATTGCTTATGAGTTTGAGGACAACCTGCTCTACAGAAGGACTTCCTGTTTTTTTTTAAAGCTTCATTTTTCTCAAAAATCTCAAGGAACTTCCACAAAGTACTATGTACTCCTCCAACGTGGGTCTTTTTATTTATTTGGTTTTGAGACAGGGTTTCTCTGTGTAACAGTCCTGGCTGTCCTGGAACTCCATCTGTAGACCAGGCTGACCTTGAATTCAAGATATCTGTCTGTCTCTGCTTCCTGGTGCTGGGATTAAAGGCTTGTGCCACCACTGCCTAGCTCCAACTTGGGTCTTATTAGCACAAATTAGCAGCAGGAACATTCCACTAGAAAAGAGTAGGCGGTTACAACCACTCCCTCTGCTCAAGGTGAACTGTTAATTCCACCCTTAACACCAGGATCCCAAAGGATAATTTATTCTACAAAGGGTCTGAGAACTACATCAATATCACTTCTTTGAACCACCCAGGTTCATGGTCTATAGTCTGTCCTCACAACCTCATTTTCATTTGTACCTTCAAACAGGAACTCCTTAGCTCTACTACTTCCAGTCCTTACATTCATCTCCAATTTCCATCCCTACAACTATTTCTGCCGACATGTCATCTCTGCTGCCTGGTGTTCAAAGACAGAGAAAAACAGATCCCTAAGATCCAAGCTGTTGGGTCAGAGCTCTAGTCCTGATATAAGCCAAGATAAAGCCTCATTTGTGCAAAAGATGGAGACATATGAAATTAGCATTTAATATCACTTTAAATCCTTCCGAGCCTGATTCCAAACCCTGCGGAATTACTGCAGAATGAAGGCTTTGATTGGTACACAGAGGTCCCCAAATGTCCTCTCAACCATGGAAGTGTGTGGTGAGGGGTGAAGTCAGCAACTCGTGGGGTTACCCTACCCCCAATCTCTTGAGAATTCGACTGACCTTTCTTTGCCCAGGAGACTGTCCTCTCACTGGAGTGCACGTAATCTTCAAATACTGTCTGCAATACTGTGGCTCGTTCTCGGATTTCCTGGGAGCCAGTGGCATGGGATTTCTGGGAGGGTGACAGAAGGATTAAAGGAGAGACAAAGTTGAAGTCAGGAATAATGAAGCAGTTTATAATAGATTTAATAACAGTAAAATCACAAGGTAACCACCCAGGGACCAACCAGGGTAATCCTTTCAATATTACTAGGGAAAGAAGGGAGCTATAGAGATGTTAAAGTCAAGCAAAGATGAGGACAACATGAAGAGGGAGCAGACCAAGTCTATTTATTTGTTTGCCTACTTTCCTTCATGACCTCTTATCACTCATGTTCAAAGTGAAAGACCTTTAGAGGTACTCTGGAGTTTTCGAAGCATAATTCTGGCATTTTAAACAGTGAACATATGCTGTTTTTAAATAACTCTTCTCCCCTTAGACTTTTCTCCCTTATCCCCACTCTCAGTGGAAAAAGGCATTTTTTCCTTAAGACCATTCCAGTGATCTGCCTAAAATTCAGCCTTACAAGGCTTTATGTCCATCCCTGAGTCTTGAGCTTGCTTCCCTTTCCTGGAAGTTGGTTGCCAGTGTTTCAGGTTTGCTTCAGAAGCCTGTAACCACCAAGCTGAGTTCTGAGGCCTATTAAGAAGGCAGCTTTTCAGTAAGCCACATTCAAAGGCTGCCAGAGTCCCTGTAGCCAGGAATACCACTGTAGCCACTGAAAACTATTAATAATATATAAGACCATTTTCATCTTTTAAAAGTCCCAGAGAAAAGATGTTTTTTTAAAAAATTCCTTCTAGAAAGTAGTGATTTTTACTTCCTTTATCTTACAACAAACACAGAACGAGGAGACTCTGTAGCCTAGGGAGGTGGGTCACCTGAGTGCAGCTACTCATGTAAAGGGGCTACTGCGCCCGATACTCCATCCTCCTGTGTAGAACTCGGGCCCCTCTCCACCCTTGGAGGACAGGTGTGAACACCTGTGTCTGGCCCATGTCTCCCTCCTTTACTTTTAAGGCTGTAAGAGGAAGAACAAAAGGGAGAGGAGAGAAAAGCTCTTTTTGGATAGACACTCTTCTCTGCATTAATAAAGACTTAACAACATGAAAATGTTTTTTGGTGTAGTCACATCATCCTGCTACCTGTTTGGCTGATGACAGTATAGCTGATTTCATAGTACACAGTCCCCCTAAGGGTTTTATCCACCACAGTGTCAGCAGAAGCGCCACTGAGAAGCCATGTTACCAAAGTGGACATTTGCTATTGTCATTAGCAAGGATTTTTTTCACCTCTTAACTGATGTGAAATGCAAACTTTCCCACTGCCCTCCTTTCATTAAGCCACCTCAGCAGCACAACTGTCACCTTGCCTGCATTTTTTTTTAATATGAATGTGAAATTAGTGAGGATGCCCTTTCCCCCGGCGGACAGAATCCTCTGTTATTAAAAAGTAAAGCACTTTAATAATGAAAACTTTTCCCTCTTTTTCCTGTGTTTTAACTGTTTAAAATTAATGAGAAGGGCAGAATGGTTGTCAAAGCGATATTGAAAGCCGGGCAGCCAGGACCGAATAAGCACAAAAATCCCTCTAGAGTGTTAAATAAACAGAGCTGCAGCCCTCTCTGAATCCCTCTGTTGGTTATTGTATACATTCTGTAACAGCTCTCAGAATAGATCTGAGAGCCAGGGAGGCAGAGAGGTTTCAGAATTCCAATAAAGGCCTCAAATTAAAGACAGCCTGGTGCGAATTCCAGGAGAAAATTAAAGAGACCTCAAGCTTAAGTGACAGGTGACTTGCTTCTGTGTCACAACTGTCAGGGGATTTAGTGATAATATGGCAATATATTACAAAGGGCTTTTCTTATTCCCCCCTTTAGGTTTTAAAATGAGGCATCTTTTCTTCCCAACCAAAAAAAAAATTACATATATATAATGTGAGTGTATATACAAGTGAAATGTGTAGAAAAATGATAAAATCAGGCTTACACAGTTAAAATGATGAGGTCAGTTTTAGCGCAATGTAAGAAAAAGTTAATGACAGAAAACAATACATTTAGGAAAAAGCATATCTTACCCCCAATTCCAGAAATACTTTAGACTGCCCCTCCTGAGAATGAATGAGGTAATTTTGGTTGTGGGGAGGACAGTCTAAATTTAAACTGAAGACAGAATGGGGCAGAGTTCGGCAGAGCCACCTCAGCCCTAGACAGGTAAATGCTCCTGTAATGAGAGTGGGTCAGAGCCCCGAGGCTTATGAGCAGGCAACACTGCCTCTCCCACCCTCACAGACACAAGCTGGCTACTGGTTAATGAAGCCAACCTGCAGCTAGCCGACCGCGGGCAGTTGAGAAAAACATGCTTCCAGCCATCTACTGGCTCTTGGTGTGCCTCTGTCTGTAACACCCCACTGATCCTGGAGACAAAAGACCATGAGAAAGGATGAGCTAGGGGCTCTGATCTGATTTTAACACTTCTCAATGCCAGCGACAGTTTGGAGAATTTTACA